TAATACATTTCTATTTGTTACTCCAGAAAATCCAGTTGTTCCTAAGGTGAGGTAGAATTTGCTAATTTCACTTGAAAGGAGTATATACTGAAATTTTAAAAATTCAAATGTAGCAAGTATAATAGAGAACTCTTCCACAAATATTAGATTAAACTGTATGAACTTGTTCATATTTGACCTTTTCAGCCCACAAAAACAGCAATTACTTGTGACTCTATCTAACACATCATTTTACTAAATTAAAATCCCTTGAAAAGAATTTTGTGACCTTTAAAAATTCATAAATAAATCATAATTACTATTCATAAATTTAAAAAATATGTCCATTTAAAAAAATAGGTCTGATTATATTTAGATTACTTGATGAAGATGTGCATACGGAGAGCTGAATCACTATATATTTAGCAATTCCAAGGTTGGACACAAAACTGGCACATGTTCAACAGTATAATGGACCATAGCCTGGGGAAAAAAGGACTTGCATTTCTGTGGCACAAAAGTAAGTGACATGTCTCTGAAACCTTCTATTTTCATCAGTGGTTTGTACAAAGCCCAGTCCCCTGTATGATTAGAATTCAAGCTGACCTTAAGTCAATGAAAGGACATCACATCACAGTTTTGCTTTATTCATAAAAGCATCTTCTAGTAAAGTCAGGGACACTCGGATGCTTAGGAGGAGAAACATCAGGGAGAACCCGTGTTTCCAGTAATTCCCCAGAACATATAAACTGAAGACGTCCTGCTAATGTATAAGGAAGTCTGGGGAGCCCCTGAGACATGAAGCCCATCAGAGGCTCCATAAAATATCTGTCTTCGCAGCCACACCTAAGGGTTTGGATCTGAGACTACTAGTTGATTTTATTTACATTTTAGGAAGTTCAAATTATTCTCTTCAACTTCAAATTATTCTTATTCAACTTAAATATTTGTTTAAGTTGGCACTCAGGTGCTCAATAAATATTAGTGTAAAGGAAAGTGTAAAGAAGGAAAGAGGGAAGTTGGCTGCTTGGCTGATTACTATTAGTAAAGTTTTAATAGATTCCCTATGCCCAAAAAATTCAGTTAATCAGCACACAGAACTACTAACATTTTACTAGAGGGAATGTATTTTACTTTCATTCAGTAAGTGGTTACTGAACCCACTTATCATATGCCAGGGACTGTACTAGGGACTAAGAGTCCCTGTGCAAAGAGAAGTTACCATCTAGGCAGGACCCCGAGAGTCACAATTCAGTGATATGTGCTCTGAGAAGGTGGAGTGGATGCTGCAAGGGGTGACCTAAGCCAGTTGTGGAGGTCACGGAAGGCGTCCCGGGGGATAGTGCTATCCAAGATGAAACATGAACAATGTCTCAAGGCAAACAGCGATGTGCGAAGGCTGTAGAGGAGAGCGGGCACAACACATGACAGGAAATGAAAGAAATCCAGCATAAGAGGGAGAAGTGAGAAGGAGGAAGTAAGGCCCAGCTCAGGCAGGCGTTTGGGCCATGTTGAGGACTTCGACTGTGTCCAACAAGTAATAGGTTTTCACCCATTGAAGGGTTTTGAGCAGGAGGCTGACACAATGAGATGTGAATTCTAGAATTACCACTGTGAACTGCAGAATCGAGAGTGTAATGGAGAAAAGGAAATGTTGGAGACACAGTCTTTGTTTTTAAGAACTATCAGCTCCCAGAATCATTGGGAGGGATGAAGAAAGAGAGCCTAGCTGAACTTTCAGAACAGTTTCCTGAAAAACAGGCCAAGGGATATGTTGTCCCCAGCATGATTAGGAAACTGAGGACGCTGCTCCAGAGCAACCAGCTTGAGGCCAGGCCTCTGGCAGACCCGAGTCAGGCGAGAGGGGACAGCAGAGAGGGGACAGCAGCTGGACCTGGAATTTTGACAGGGGTGGAGAAGAGTGCAGGAACTTGTGATTTAGCAAGAAGAAGAATGAACAGAGAAGGTGAGGGAGAGTAAGACATGACACGCAGGTTTCTGAATTGAAGCGACAGGGTGGGAGGATCCATCACTGAAGTAAACAAAGGGGAATTGGGGCCAGGAAATGGATGAGAGTTTTGGATTTAAGAAGTTGAGATGTGTGAGGAATATGTCAGTAGCCGACTGGAATCAGGGGCAGAGTCACCATGAGCTGAGGCCATGAGCAGGCATGAGTTCATCCAGGCACAGCACCCAAGTCAGATGGAAGAAGGCCCGGGATGCAATCCCAAGGAACATCACTAACACTTACAGATGGGAGAGGAAGGTTAGATCAATAAAGGAGCCTGAAAGAGAGGCATGAGAGACAGAAGAAAAAATGGTAAGAAAGCAGTATCAGGGAAGTGAAGGAAGCAGAGGTCAACAGTGCTAAATACTGCAGAGGGATTCAATCAAGATAAGAACTGAGATCTCAAAAAGAAATTGCTGTGACCTTTCAATGCGATAGAGAGTAAGACAGGAATGCCCACCGACCAGCTCTGCTTAACACCAAACTAGAACTCCTGGCCATCATTATTTTTAAAAAGAAGAAGAAAAGGAGAAAAAAGAAGAGGCAGGACAAGGAGAAAAAGAAAACAAGAGAAATAAAGATGGGAAGGGAAGAAACAAAGTATCTTATTTGTATTTGATATAAATATTCACATAGTATCACAGACAGAGTCACAAAGAATCAGCATATTATTGGAAGTAATTAGAGTTTTGAAGGTTAATAGTAAAAAAAAATACTTTTTTTAAAATACGTAATATTTCCCCACACCAGCGGACAACTAGAAAATGCAATAGAATGGTATTGTTCAAAAAAGCAACAAAACCTGGGGGATGTGATGTATACATTTGTTGACTATAGTTAATAATACTGCATGTATATTTCAAAATTGCTAAAGAGTAATCTTAAAAGTTCTCATCACAAGAAACAAATTTATAACTATTTGTGGGGATAGATGTTGACTAGGCCTATTGTGTAGATCACTTATTGTGACTTACACAAGTGTCAGAGCATTCTGTTATACACCTGAAACTAGTATCATGTTATATGTCAATTATATCACAATAAAAAAAGGACTTTATTCTTTCTAATCTATAAATTAAATTCAATCTCATTATTGATTTTATATTATTATTCTTTAGAAACTCAAATTTATTCCAAATGCACATGAAAGAGTAATGGTTCACAAAAGCTCAATCAGCACTTTAAAAAAAAAGACAAAAAAGATGAACTTGTCCTGTGAGATAACAAATAGAGTTCTGAAACAGATCCAAGTATACATGAGAACCTACTGTATAATTAAGACTGCCTCATAAATTAACGAGGAGAGGATAAACCTTCAGCAGGAGAAAACTGGCTCCAGATTCCTGCCTAATACTATATACAGAGGTGAACCTCAGATGAATATAGGACCTAAATGTAAAACTATGAAGCTAATAGAATTTTTGTAGAAAACTACCTTTGTGACTTATGGAAGAAAATAGTTCTTAAGTAACCCCCAAAATCACAACACTTGTGTATGATCTATGCACAACTTTCATTGTTCAAGTATCAGTTAAAAACTACTCATTGTTAAAGTATCAAATTTGTGGTGGACTTTCTATATTTAACAAATTAGAAGAAATGATGATTCTTTATGATTATTCATCTAGATATAGAGGTTTCATGAGTAGGAGGGATCTATACAGTCTCTGACTTGAGATGGTTTGGCTTACAATTCCTCAACTTTACAACGGTTAACAAGCGATATGCGTTCAATAGAAACTGCAGTTGGAATTTTGAATTCTGGCCTTGTGCAGGGCTAGTGGTATGAGGTCTGATCCTCTCTCTGATGCTGGGCAGGTGCGGCGAGCCACAGCTCCCAGTCAGCCAGGTGATCACAAGGGTCAACAGCCCATACTCTGCAGTGTTCAGTGTGTGACATGACTGTGCCCAGCTGAGCATGCTTACAGCAGGGTCAGCTAAGCTGTGATGTTCAGTAGGTTTGGTGTCTTAAATGCATTTTCAATTTACTTATATTTTCAATTTACGATAGGTTTATCAGGATGTAATTCCACCATAAGCCGAGGAGCATCTCTGATGGGTGGCTTTAATATGCATTTAAAAGGAAACATTAGAGTATTGCATAAATACTATGAACTTTTCTCATACTCCATAAATGCCACCACTGCAGTTCTTCATACACTTTTATTATAGTCCACGTTAACCTCCCAAATACCTAGGAGGAAAGCTAATTAACAAAAGATTGATCAGTTGTAATCTACTGTTTTCTACACTTGGAAGACTTTCAAATTAAAGGGACTAATACTATTCCCCTTAAAATTAGTGCTCTATCATAAGTCCTCAGCAAGTAGTCTAAAAGGAAAAGAATTAAGTTAAAAAAATAGAATTTTTGAAGTTCTAATAAACACGTTATAGTTATTATAAGCACAACTGAATAAAGTTAAAATAATGCCTAACTCAAGTTTAATTGAAAGCTTAGTTTCCCCTAAAAGCTTAGGGCTACATTCCAACCGCCTTATATCATTACTATCAGCTTCCATAAGAGGTAGAATGGGCACCTCAGAATTCAAATATACTGTGAACAGTCTAAAGAAAAGAAAATCAGCAACTGTTTTGACATAAGATGTCTGTAAGTTAAGGCTTGAGTGTAACAGCTGGGGAAAGACCCAAAGTCAGAGCATCACAGACTGGCTACTTCAAGCTTCACAAACTAGGAAATAACAATTTAGATACAACAGTTATAACCCTCTGAAATAAAAGATTATTTACTTCATTAAACAAGTCACTCATGTTTTCAACTCCCTTTTTTCATTATGCTACTCTGAATTTAACTTTCCTTTATAGCCAATAAAACCTAAGAAATAAAAATCATTTAACATATTTATCTTGTTTATTATACTAAAATATTTCTTCTTCAAGTCTTTAAGTGCCCCCCATCTACCTCGTGTGTATCTCAGAAAACTATAAAAACACCAGAGTGGTGTGCTGTAGTAACCCACAGGTACTCTAAATGCATTAGGTTAATAAACTATACCTTGCACAACCACCTGGCTGCCTGGGACAAAGAACTGCTGTGTGCCGTCAGCTGCCTGCGCTGCGTCCTGCTCAATTGTAGCACCTGGTGGAGGAGCTCCTGAACTTGTCACTGTTAATGCCGGCATTCCCTGAACAACATCAGATCCTGGTTTAGAAATCTGGATTGTTCCACCTTGAGCTATAGCAACTTAACAGAAAAAGAAAAGAAATATTAGAGAATTCCAAGCTTCATTTTTAATCATCTCATATTGGAAGAATATACTCTGGGTCTATGTATTACCAATGTTTCTCATTCCCAATTTACCCTTTTTTTTTAAGTCTATTTTATTGATTATGCTTTTACAGTTGTCCCATTTTCTCCCCTTTATCGCCCTCCGCCCTGCACCTCCCCTCCCACCAGCATTCCCCCACCCTTTAGTTCATATCCATGGGTTGTACATATAAAAGTTTTTTGACTTCTGCATTTCCTACATTATTCTTAACCTCCCCCTGTCTATTCTGTACGTACCAAATATACTTATTCCCTGTACCTTTTTTCCTTATTCTCACCCCTCCACCTCCCCGCTGATAGCCTTCCATGTGATCTCTATTTCTGTGATTCTGTTCCTGTTCTATTTGTTTGCTTAGTTTATTTTTTTATTTTTATTTTTTAAGGTTCAGTTGTTGACAGTTGTGAGTTTGTTGTCATTTTACTGTTCTAGTTTTGATCTTCTTTTCCTTAGATAAGTCCCTTTAACATTTCATATAATAAGGGCTTGGTGATGATGAACTCCTCTAACTTGACCTGACCATCTCTGGGAAGCACTTTATCTGCCCTTCCATTTAAAATGATAGCTTTGCTGGATAGAGGAATCTTGCTTGTAGATCCTTGCCTTTCATGACCTTGAATACTTCTTTCCAGCCCCTTCTTGCCTGCAAGGTTTCTTTTGAGAAATTAGCTTATAGTCTTATGGGAACTCCTCTGTAGGTTAACTGTCTGCTTTTCTTTTGCTCTTTTAAGATTCCCTCCTTATCTTTAATCTCGGGTAATTTAATTATGAGTGTCTTGGTGTGTTCTTCCTTGGGTCCAATTTCTTTGGGACTCTCTGAGCTTCATGGACTTCCAGGAAGTCTATTTTCCTTGGCCAGATTGGGGGCGTTCCCCTTCATTATTTTCTCAAATAAGTTTTCAATTTCTTGTTCTTCCTCTTCTCTTTCTGGCACCCCTATGATTTGGAGGTTGGAACATTTAAAATTGTCCCAGAGGTTCCTGAGCCTCTCCTCATTATTTTGAATACTTGTTTCTTTATTCTGTTCCAGTGAATGTTTATTTCTTCCTTCTGTTCCAAATTGTTGATTTGAGTCCTGGTTTCCTTCCCTTCACTGTTGCTTCCCTGTATATTTTCCTTCATTTCACTTTGCATAGCCTTCACTTCTTACTTTATTTTACGTCTGTACTCACAGTCATTTCTATGAGAGTCCTGACTACTAGTGTTTTGAGCTCTGCATCCGATAGGTGGGCTATCTCCTCATTGCTTAGTTCTTTTCTGGAGTTTCGATCTATTCTTTCGTTTGGGCCATGTTTCTTTGTCTCGGCACACCTGTTATGTTGTAAGGGGCAGAACCTTAGGTGTTTGCCACGGCAGGACAATCCACTTTGCTGCATCATGGTGCAGTGTGGATGAGTGTTTCTTCTTTAACTCCTTGGTTGTCGGATAGCCATACAGTTCAATTTTCTGGCAGTTCTGGGTGTTTTTTGTTTTTAAATTTGTTGTTGTCTTTCTTTTGGTTGGGTGAGGAGGCAAAGCGTATCTACCTATGCCTCCATATTGGCCAGAAGTCTCAATGTACCCTTATTTTTGCGTGCTGAATTAATAAGGAGATCCTCTTTCACAGGACGATATTCTGAAAGGCTCATAAACACTTGAAAATATCTTATACTCAGAATTGTTTGAAATACATAGAGCCCATGGAGCTTCCCTCATCCCTGACATCCGTCCAACTAAATTATTTAAGAGAAAGAATGGAGATACTGACAGGGAGAAACTTCAGCTTCTTGATTTTCTCTACTCTTTCAGATATTTTTAGATATAAATAAAGAGCATTCTTCTAATATTTAAGAAATGGTCAGTGAAATCCCATTGACCATCAAAAATGCCATGAATTTGGTTCTTCTTCTTTTTAAAGATTTTTTTTATTTTCAGAGGGGAAGGGAGGAAGAAAGAGAGGGAGAGAAAAATCAATGTGTGGTTGCCTCTCGAGCGCCCCCTACTGGGGACCCGTCCCACAACCCAGGCATGTGACATGACTAGGAATCGAACCAGCGATCCTTTGGTTTGTAATCCGGCACTGAGTCCACTGAACCACACAAGGCAGGGCGAATTTGTTTCTTCATTCAGCTATTTTCCTAGTTTATTATCAAAAGAAAATAGCTTTTCATGGAATTGTATTTTGATTTTTAAAGCTCAAGCCTACAAAACTGTAGCCTTTACCATTTTGACTATGTCAGGAGAATCTTGAAATATAAAATGTTAAGTTGGAAAGGATCTTAGGAGGTAATTATTGAAACAATCTGTGCTACAATAGTTACTTCTGCCAAGTGTCTTGAAATAATTATCTCAGCTAATGGCAACAAATATGAGCAGGTTTTCTTCTAAATACTGAGATTTACCAGTCATGTTCAAAAATTAACAATCTGAATGTTTCAAAAGAACTGATCAAGTGAAATCTTTAAATTTCACTTGGAAAGACAAATAAATCAAAGTACCTGAGAGTTTGGCATACTTCAACATAAAGATTATGACTCCATGTTTTAGTTTAAATACTAGAGATTAAGAGACAAGGGCTATCCTTTAAAAAAAATCACATCTAAACTAGCTTACTTGATTTAACAATAAAGATAAAAATAACCCACCATCAGAATAATACAACACTGATAAATCAATGGAAATGCCTTACAGGAATGTTACAGTAGCATCTAAAATATACTCTGGCCCTGGCTGGTGTGGTTCAGCAGATTGAGTGCCAGCCTGCAAACCAAAGGGTCATGGGTTTGATTCCCAGTCAGGGCACATGCCTGGGTTGCAGGCCAGGTCCCTAGTAGGGGATGTGCAAGTGGCAACCACACATTGATGTTTCTTTCCTTCTCTTTCTCTGTCCCTTTTCCTCTCTAGAAATACATAAAATCTATAAAATAAATAAATAAAATATGCTCTGAACATTTCCAAGTCATTCCCTAGCCATTTTAACAATATGTAAGCAAAGGACCACTTAAGGGAGGAAATGATGGGATAAGCCTAACACAAAAAGATGGTTGACATTTTTTTTAAGAGTTCAACATAGATACATTCCCTGTTTTAGTTCATTGACAGGCTGCTATTGGAATAGCACTGGCAGAAACTGAAGAATCAGTTACAAAAGTCAATAGTGCTGAGGTTGAGAAACTTTGATGTAGTTTCATTTTTTCAGGCTCATCTAGAGCCTTATATTCTGTACATCTTTTAAAAATAAGATTTTACCATGACTCTCCAAAGATTTCAAGGGTCTCAAGGTTCACCCCTTATAATAAAATGGTTTGAGAGAGATCTATGTCTACCTTCTTAAAAAGAGATACATGAAAACGATCATGCTTCCGTAAATCTTGATGGCTGGACATGGATAAATTTTATATGTTATCAGACATTTGAATGTGTATTTTCAGTTGATAATTAGTTTGATGTCACAGTGATGGTGCTTTAGAAAAAACAAGCACAGGCACTGTAACCACAATATACAAGAAGCACAAAGCCTAGTGTTAACCTAAATTTTGAAAGCCAGTATGGGACAAGTTTATATTCAGGATCAAAGAATTATAATTTTGGGAGCACAGTTTCAAGTAGAAACTCAGTGTCCTGATTACACAGTGAAAGCAAGGGTTTTTATGAGAAAAAGGAAAGAAGTGATTATAAAAAGAAGAAAAAATTCCTATTGGTGCTGACACGCTGAGCCACTACTGGCTACACGTGATTGCTTCCTGATTCTATCTTCAGATGGAGGGTGCATAATCATCAGTCCTTGTGACCAGACAGTCCTGCTGACCTTATCAACAACTGTTTATAAAACAACTGTGGTTTGGCCCCAGACCACAGTTTCAAGAGACAGCACAAGCAAGACAGTTCCTCTGGAATGGCTGCTTGAGCTCCATTTTAAAATGGCCCATTCCTAGTATTTTTCACACCCACATACAGCAGGCACTCAATATGACAAATGAATGGCTGTCATTTCTTCAAGACAGGCCATAAGCCACTTGGGAATCTAGAAAAGTTAAATTAAGTATGGTTTCAAATTCTGACAATAGAACTTAATTTTTAATACCAATTAGTAAGCTGTTGGACTAGTAAAAAAATCTGAGCTGAGAGTAGTTGCTTCTGCAGATAAGAACCATGAAATAGGTAAGTAACCAAGGTCCTTCCTTTGTCCTTTTTATCCTTTTTTCTTTTCTTCAGTGTTTCCCCAAAATTCCATCCAAAATTTATTGCTTTCACAATCTGAAAAGCTGATACAGCAAGAATCTGTTACTCTCATCATTTCATTTTCTGGGTAAGTCATTATATAATGAGATGTGGAAAAACAAAAGCTAAATACACAAACTGGCTCTAGGGGGGAAACATTTCTACTAATAAGTCTTGTACTCAAGCCTAGCTTTTATTTTTTTAGACCAAAAGTATTCTTGATTTTTGCATTATTAAATGACAGGGAACCTTCCCATTTCAAATGCTACCTCTCATTTGACAATAGACAAGATTTCCTAATGCTTCAGGATACTGGAAATAGGCTTTGTATGCACATATGTTTATTCAAAAGGTTTGAGAAAACATTTAGGTTAGAAAATATTCAATCGTAGTATGTGTTTTCAGTAAACACATGCTAAGATAAATTAAATAGTAGAAAAAATTAAGAGGAAATCAACTGAATGAGTTTAGCAACATCTTTTGTTTTAGCTCATTAAAAAAAAAACTTAAGAGGAATTTTGTAGCAAGAAGCCTATATTGTTGTAAACAATAGCATCCACATTGGTCTATGAATAGTAATTGGAACTCAAGCAAAGTTGTTTTTCTATTTTAGATTATCCGCATACTTACTTTTCTCTTTTAAGTTATCCTTAATAACATTACAGTTTCATAAAATAGCTAACCTGAAGTAAAAAATGGACACCTGGATTATATAATCAATTAAACTCTACTCCCATGTCCATTATTAATTGATTCAAGCCTGCTAGTTTGTTGTCCCCAAACTAGTGGTGGGTAGAGGTTAAGCTCTGTTGTTCTAGGTGCTCTGGGAGGTGCCTATCTGACTCAGACCCCTCCAGAGTCTCAGGTGACCACATAATTAAGTAGCTTATTCTATGCTCACTAGTTGAGTGTTGGACACACTGATCTTATGTCAAAAAAGCATTTGTCTAGGTAAAGTGTAATTCATTAATTTACTAAGTATTTTTTCACTAAGTTAGTTTTAGTGGTTACACAAATGTTTTTATATATTCAGTTTATCCTTATACAGTCATGGTATTTAGTTTCAAATCAGTATTAACCCAAGTATGGTTTCCCCATCTCCAACTTACTGTCTGTCACAGTAACCAGGATGCTATCCTATCAACTAGTCTAGGCAATAAACTCTTTTTAAATTCCTGGTATAAAAAAACATGTTTAAAAAGTCTGCTATTTCCACTACTCATTGCCATTGAGCACTTCTCTCCTAAAACTATTAATATCATTGAGAGAAATATTTAAAATATCATTGAGAGAAAATATTATTTAAAATATTATTGAGAGAAAATATTATTAAATATGTTAAGGTCTTGTAAAATCAATAAAGAAGGGGGAAAAAGAAAGATAAATAAGGGTAGAAAATGGGGTGGGGTGGGGGAAGAGTTCACAGCAAATAAGGAAAGAGAATTTGTCTAAGATTTTGTCTGTTCGCCCTGACTGGTGTGGTTCAGTAGGCTGGAGCAGCAACCCGTACACCAAAAGGCTGAGGGTTTGACTTTCTGTCAGGGCACAGGCCTAGTTTGCTGGTTTGATCCCCATCAGAGTGCATGCAGGAGGCAACCGATCAATGTTTCTCTCTCTCTCCCCCTTACCTCTCCCTCTAAAATCAATAAAGATATCCTTGGGTGAGGATTAAACAAATAATATTAATACAAAATTAAATTTAAAAGACTGTCTTTAGAGAAAAAAGGGATAAAAAAACAACTGTCTTGAGAAAACAATGAATTAAACTTCAAACATTTAAATCTTAGTTGCTTTTATTATGCACTTATAAATTCACTCTCATTTAGTTCATGTCTTAACACAGAAAGTAAATTCTTGGCTGATTCAAAACTGCCATCTTTAAAAATATGCTCCTGAGAGAGGATAGATTTTCTTTGACCAGAATGATTTAACTGGCATACAGACAGCAAACCGATAGCCAAGATGTATACTTTCAGTAAGGATTTTGAAATGTAGCTCATTTTCTTGGTTTTGCAGTAAAGAACCCCTGACTATTTTATCTTTCCTACACCCAGAGTAGAAAAGTTAGCTTATTCTAACTTTCACTTCTTACTTTTGGTGATTAAAAAAACAAGTTGAAGCAATAATGATAACTTCTGTCTAATATAACTTTCAACTACTAAAACCATAAGGGTTGTATATGGGAAAGTATGAACACTTACTTTTATTTCTTCAACTTTGACACACACAATTATTTACTTCTTTTTGTTAACTTTATCTTATTATACCAAATTAAAAATAAATAATCTAGCCCTGGTAAGTGTGGCTCAGTTGGTTGGGCATTGTCCTGCAAACCAAAAGGTTGAGGGGTCATTCTCCAGTTGGGGCATGTGCAAGAGGCAACCAGCCAATGTTTCTTTATCACATCAATGTTTCTCTCCCTGTCTTTCTCCTTCCCATACCCCCTCTCTAGAATCAATAAAAGAAAAAAAGTTTTTAATGATAAACAATCTAAAATAATAATCTTTCAAAGAAAGAAGAGTTTGGAGGAATGTTGTTCATGGAAAAAAGGTGAATTAATTTTTGTAATAAAATGTTCTTATGAAAGGGCTTCAAAAATAGGTACAGAATATACATAGGAGAACCTCCAGGAATTCTAGTAAAATAAGTTCCTCTAGTCTAAAAACCAAAGGACGCCAGGTTGTTTCCATTTCTAGATATTCAAGAACATTAAAGCACTAATATCTCTTCAGTTATTCCTAGTAAGAGATAAAACTAAAGACTATAGATCTTGTGTATGTATGAATATGTTTACCCTCCAATTAAATGTCTTCTAAAAAGCTGGAATGTTAATATTCACTCTTCAAATGAAAGAATTATCAACTAAAATGTGTCACTAAATGTTTACAAAATGCATTTTTAACAAAGGCAATATCACTTTTTGTGAACCAATAAATGCCAATTTTTACTTGGGGACAGCGTTTATAGAGCCAGCACAACTCTTCATTAAAATAACTGCCAGGGTCAATACTGTGTGGGTCCAAATTAAGAAACCTCAGTAGGAGACAGCCCAGGACTTCTATTGCGGCAAATAGATAGATACATGCCCAACTCCTAAACATCAGATTTCCTAGTTCTCAAGCAGAGCTCTTGACTGCGCCCCTGCCCGCCCTCGTCACAGTGATGATTCATGCTGAGCTCTCTTCTCCAAGCCACACGAAGAGCAGGGAAATAAAGGCTTTGGGAACATGGCTGACACATGGCTACAGCTAGCTTACATTTCTCTGTGACATGTCAAAGTAGTATGTTTCTTTTCCCCACTTCTACCTGTTATCTTCTTGTGTCCTCACACTGACCCCAGAGTTTCCCAATCTAGTATCATTCCCACTTCAAACGCTAAACACCTGAGATGGGAAAACAAAGCTCGCTCTGATGCAGTTGGCAAATGACAGGACCAGAACGAATGCCTTCTCCACATCATCTATAGCTTCAACATTCTCTCAACCCAATGTTTTCATGATTTCAAATTTTCAGCTAATAATCTAAGCATATTAACCCATGGCATCCCTATCCATATTGCCTTGTACAGAGATCACTGTTTTTATCAGTTCCTAGGTGGCATTAGCATATGCATGGTGATGTTCAAGATGACAGGTTCAAGATGACAGCATCTGGAACGTTCTCCAAACTTTGGGGTGTGTGAGCATTATTTCATCAGTAATTTCCAGCCTTTTCCTCACAGCCCAAATAGGAAATGATAATATGTGTACAGCTGACCAGCCAGGAGGTTCCAGCAGGTCCACGTACGCCCTGCAGAGCCACTCTGGGGCCGAGGGCAGGAGGAGCTCAGTGCCCCTGTGGCCCGTGTGCTGCTCTGCCAAGCCCACAGCTGGCAAACTCCAGTTTTCAGTTCTACAACTCCCACCATGTGTTCCCAGAGAGCCAGACACAAAGGCATACAAATCAGAGACGTAACAAAAGAAACAAGACAGTGATACTCTCAGGGTCCAATCCTTATAGACAGTGGGGAGTTTTCCTTTCCTAACATGGACTTTCGGGCATGTCCACTCAGTGTCCTGTAGAGGCTGTGGACAAGTTATACCCCAATTCTGCCAGGTACTATGGTAGGAGCTACCCAAGGAACCAAAATTACCAAAGTGTTTAATGCTGTAAGTCCACCACCACTGTAAGAAAAACCCTAAAAAACTAATGACTCTTTAGGTTTTCCCATAGATTAAAGGAGATTACAGCTTGCTTTAACAGCTATGTATTAAATTAAGACTTGAGACTTTTCTACACATTACTACTTTTTAAAGGAAAACAGAAAACATATCCAATATATTAACACTGTTTTTGGACCAACACAGTACTACAGTACTTATTATCACACAAATTTTAGTACCTGAGCAGCTTTTTTTTTTTTTAAACTCTTTTTTAGTCCTTTTGCTGTCTCGTTTCCCCTCATACTTTTTTTCTTCCTAGATCTCCTTTTTCACTAAAGTATTTTTATTATCAAATGATCTTGATTTGGGGGAAAAAGAAAACTAGTGTTTAAAGCAAAAAGCATAGAATAAACAGCCCATTAAAATACACAAGACTAAATGTGAATTTATTTGTTTATTTAGAGCTTTTGGTGTTTAAAATTTCAAATAAAATGATCTAGTTGCTGTAAGTTTAAAAAATTAATCATTTTTCCATTCTCATCTAGGAAAAACTGCAATACAAATCAGACACAGTAGAGACTAGCAAAAACAGAATTACATTTAAAACATAATTTAGAAAATATATATATACCTCTTTTAAATTAGTAAGTAGAAAATGTAATTGTTGGTAGCAAAAGCCAACAGGAATGAAATACAGACATTTATAGCTAATTATGTTTGCATGCATCATAATGGAAACAAAAAACAGTAAGTTTTAAACTTTTACTAAACAAGAATATAAGCATATAAATGCAAAAACTCCCTTTATTTTAAACTCAAAATTTTCTTCTATATTCAGTAAAAATTTATCTTTCAAAAGTATATGGCAACTATTAATTCAAATCTCTTCTTTAACATGTATTTTTCATTCTGATTCACAGATTATGTATTATGATTTAAAATGGAACAGTTTAATGCAAAACCCGAGTTGCTTCCATGTAACGAGAGAAGACTTAAAGCTGGCACTGTATGGTACTGAACTGCAGCATACATACTGTACTGCCCCGTGCTGGTCTGATATGTGCTAGTCAGTACTGCCATGGTAGTGGTGTGAGGTAGCGTTCCTTCTTCTTCTGATTTTTCTTCTTCAGTCTTGGGAATACCAGGCATATCAGAGGGAAGTTCATTCAGTATTCTTCTAAAACAGAATTTAACAATACAAATAATTAAGATATATGAATGAGATTTAAAACAGAGAAGCTGATCATGGAGAAAAAGATGGTGGAGGAGTGAAAGGGAGTCACGCTGACCTCCTCCCAAAACCAAACTGGAATTGCAACTAAATAATGGAGTAATCACCTGGAAAGCAGTGGAGCGATAGTGGGAGAGGAGCCTTGGTGCCGCGGACAGTGGATTCAACTCTCACACATCCCAACGAGTGAGAATTGCGGTGGAGGCTCGAGAGGGTGGGCTGGGTGCCCACGGGCACTGGCAACAGAGGGACATTGAAACAGCCAGTTAGCGTCCCCCCGAGAAGAACGGGGTCTGAATCATAAACAGGAACCACTAAACTACAGCAGCTAAAGCCGAGAAAATACAGACAAAATGCAACCCCAAAAAGCTTAGGGGCGCTCTCTGCCAGAGACAGGTGGCGGGGGATGCAAAAAGACATTTAAAGGGCAAACGCAAAAGCTGCAGCGGCAGCCACCCTCCTTGATCGCTGGGTACAGGCAACAGCAGGGTGGGATGGTGTCTGGGAAAAGACTGGTGAGGAAAACTTTGTGAAGAGAACTGAGACTGCGGCCGGTGGAGCCCGGGTGATAACGCACTTCCTACTCTGCAGCTACCATCTCGCTCAGGCATAAGGGAATCAATTAACCTGCCTTTTGTGCGCTCCCCACACAGCTTGTACGCCTGTGAGCTACGGGGCTGAGTGCAGACTGGCTGGGAGAGCCTTGAGGAGAGACTGGAGACGGAGGCGTTGGGGAAAGAACGGGAGGAGGAACCGGGGAGTCCCGACTCCCTCCCCATTCGGTAGTCTCCATTGTGGGCTGGAAAGGCGCGACCCCAAAGAGGCAGAAGCGGGACGCGCATGAACCAGACTGCCTGCGATTGAAACGCAGTCCGCACAGGGGTTGGATCCTTGGCCGAAGGGGTCACAGAACTGCCCAGAGGCCCCTAAGGGGAGACTAGAAACGGAGGCATTGGGGAAAGAACGGGAGGAGGAACCGGGGAGTCCTGACTCCTTCTCCTTGCCGAAGTCTCCATTGCGAGGGAAGAGGCCACACCCCCAAAGAGCCAAAAGCCGAAAAGCAAACATAGAAACCCCCAAAACACCCAGAGCAGGCACGCACACTTGCGCCCAGTGACTGGCGAGGGTTGGCGAGCGTGTGTGTGACCCACGCGGGCTGGCGAACGCTTGCACCTGCCGGCAAGGCCTCACACAGACTGGCACCCATACGGCCTGCGAGGGATTGCACAGAGGGGCAAGGGCAGGCGTAAATTGACCTACCCGCCGCGATTGCGGAGCGGCCCACAAAATAAGTAGAGCTGCCCAGAGTCCCTGGAGGAGAGACCAGAAACAGGATTAACCGGAGAGTCCTAGAGCTGATTTCCTCCCATTTCCGTAGTCCCCATTTGGCGAGGGCAAGCAACGCACCCAAAGAGCCAAAAGCGGGGAAAACACACAATAGAAGACCCTAAACTGACCAGTGCCGCGAAGCTCGCGTGCCAGGGAGGCCAGATGAGCACGGGAGGTCGCGAATAAGCCCTCTGGTCTGGGGCAAACACATGCGAGCCCAGGCAGGTGGGGGACCCTGCCGCGCTGGGAACACGCTCAAGGAGCTGTCGTGAGAGCGCAGAGATCCCAAAAAATAGCCCAGCCCTGACCGAAGGGGTCAAAGAGCTGCTCCAAGCAGGAGTCAGACACAGGCATTAGACTCCTGAAAGGCTCAAACAAACAACCCAAGGCCCTATAGGGTCAACAACTGACATCATCAGAGGCAAGCCCAGAAAGAAAAGTAAAGGACAAAAATACTTAACAGACTCTCACAAAAATGGGAAGAAAAAGAAGTTCCCCCCCAAATGAGTGGAAAAGGGGACTCCCCACAGAGAGAGCTAAATGAAATAGAGGCAAGGGAACTATCAGATATGGAATTTAAAACAATGGTTCTAAGGAAGCTCAATGAGCTCAGCCAGCTCAAAGAGAACTATGAGAAACTGCAGAGAAACTATCAGGATCTTACAGCAAACTATATCAGCCTGGAAAAGGACATAGAAACTATCCAGAAGACACAAGAGGATATGAAGAATACCATTTCTGAATTGAAGAACACAGTAGAAGGAATCCAAAGCAGGCTGGATGAAGCTGAGGATCGAATCCGTGAGATGGAGGACAAGGTAGAAAGAAGCTCCCAGAAAGAACAAGAAATGGAAAAACGGCTCAATGAGAATGAAGAAGCATTTAGGGAAATGCAGGACAACCTGAAACGCAATAATATCCGTATAATAGGGATACCAGAAGGAGAAGAAGAGGAGCAAGGAATAGAGAACCTCCTCGAAAAAGTAATGATGGAAAATTTCCCTAATTTGAGGAGAGAAAGGCTCTCATGGATCCAGGAGGCACAGAGGACCCCACTCAAGAAGGACCCAAGGAGGTCCACTCCAAGACACATCATCATTAAAATGGCAAATGTCAAAGACAAAGAGAGAATCCTCAAGGCAGCAAGGGAGAAGGAGAAAGTAACATACAAGGGGGCCCCGATACGCCTAGGAGCTGACTTCTCAACAGAAACACTACAAGCCAGAAGGGAATGGCAACAAATATTCCAAGCCATGAAAAGCAAGGGCCTACAGCCAAGGCTGCTCTACCCAGCTAGGCTCTCCATTAAAATAGAAGGAGAAATACGGAGTTTCCCAGACAAAAGAAAGCTAAAAGAATACATCTCTACCAAACCAGCACTCCAAGATATGCTAAGGGGACTGGTTTAAGTAGATGAAGGAAAAGAATGAGACAGAGAGGAACACAAGTACAAAGAGAAAAGATGAGTAAGTTTCTATCAGTAATATCTCTCAATGTGAATGGACTAAATGCCCCAATCAAAAGACACAGGGTAGCTGAATGGATAAGAAAACATGACCCACACATATGCTGCCTACAAGAGACCCACCTCAGAGCAAAAGACCTACACAGATTGAAAGTAAAGGGATGGAAAATAATATTCCAGCAAATGGACATGAGAAAAAGGCTGGCGTTGCCATACTTGTATCAGACAAAGTCGATTTCAAAGCAAAGGCCATAAAGAGAGACCCAGAGGGGCACTTTATCATACTTAAAGGAAGAATCTATCAAGAAGACATCAACATTGTGAACTTATATGCTCCCAATATAGGAGCCCCCAAGTATATAAGGAAATTGTTGGATGACTTCAAAAAAGATATAGACACCAACACACTGATAGTAGGGGATTTCAACACCTCACTGTCAATAATGGACAGATCTTCCAAACAAAACATTAATAAACATACTGTGGTGCTGAATGACACACTGAATCAAAGAGACTTAACTGACATATATAGAATCTTACATCCCAAAGAAGAAAAATACACATTCTTTTCAAATGCTCATGGCAGTTTTTCAAAGATAGACCACATGATAGGACACAAAGCAAGCCTCAGTTAATTCAGGAAAATTGAAATAATACCAAACTTTTTCTCGGACCACAAGGCCTTGAAACTCGAAATCAAACTCAAAGAGAAACTTCAAAAACTTGGACACTCATGGAGACTGAACAGTACACTATTAAACAATGAATGGGTCAATAATGAGATAAGAGAAGAAATAAAAAAATTTCTGGAAACAAATGAAAATGAACAGACAACTGTCCAAAACCTATGGGACACAGCAAAGGCGGTCCTGAGAGGGAAGTTCATAGCAATACAGGCTTACCTAAAAAAGATAGAAACATTTCAAATAAAAGACCTAACACTACAACTTGAAGAACTGCAGAAACAACAACAAATAAATCCCAGAGCAAGTAGAAGGAAGGAAATAGTCAAGATTAGAGCAGAACTGAATGACATAGAGACAAAAAGAACAATTCAGAGGATCAACCAATCCAGAAGCTGGTTCTTTGAAAAGATTCATAAAGTGGACAAACCTTTAAGCAGACTCATCAAGAAAAAAAGGGAGAGGACCCAAATTAATAATATCGGAAATGAAAGAGGAGAAATAACAACTGATACCACAGAAATACAAATGATTATCAGAAACTATTATGAACAATTATATGCCAAGAAATTTGAAAATCTGGATGAAATGGACAAATTTTTAGAAAAGTATAATCTTCCAACACTGAAGGAGGAAGAAACAGAAAGCTTGAACAGACCGATAACAGTTGGGGAAATTGAAGCAGTCATCAAGAAACTCCCAGCACACAAAAGCCCAGGGCCAGACGGTTTCCCAGGAGAATTTTACAAAACATTTAAGGAAGAGCTAACCCCTGTCCTTCTCAGACTATTCCAAAAAATCCAAGAGGAGGGAAGACTGCCAGACTCCTTCTATGAGGCCAGCATCACCCTGATCCCAAAACCAGATAAAGACCCTACAAAGAAAGAAAACTACAGGCCAATTTCGCTGATGAACATAGATGCTAAAATCCTCAACAAAATATTGGCAAACCGCATCCAGCAATACATTCAAAAGATTATCCATCACGATCAAGTGGGATTCATCCCAGGGATGCAGGGATGGTTCAATATACGCAAATCAGTAAACGTGATACACCACATAAATCAAAGAAAAGACAAAATCCACATGATCATCTCGATAGATGCAGAAAAAGCATTTGACAAGGTACAGCACCCATTTATGATCAAAACACTCAGCAAAATGGGAATAAATGGGGCATTCCTCAACGTAATAAAGGCCATATATGAAAAACCTACAGCCAATATCATACTCAACGGGCAAAAACTGAAAGCTTTCCCACTAAGATCGGGAACACAACAAGGATGTCCGCTCTCACCGCTTCTTTTCAACATCGTATTGGAAGTCCTAGCCACAGCGGTCAGACAAGAGAAGGAGATAAAAGGCATCCAAATAGGAAAGGAGGAAGTAAAGCTATCATTGTTTGCAGATGACATGATAGTGTACATAGAGAACCCTGTAGACTCTACCAAAAAACTCCTCAACCTAATAAGTGAATTTGGCAAAACAGCAGGATACAAAGTCAACATTCAGAAATCAAAGGCGTTTTTGTACACCAGCAATGCAATAGAAGAAGAAGAAATCAGGAAAAATATACCATTCAATATAGCACGAAAAAAGATAAAGTACTTAGGGATAAATTTAACCAAAGACACAAAAGACCTGTATGCAGAAAACTATACAACATTGAAAAAAGAAATTAAGGAAGACACAAATAAATGGAAGCATATGCCGTGCACATGGATTGGAAGAATTAATATCCTCAAAATGTCCATACTACCCAAAGCAATTTATAGATTCAACGCAATCCCTATTAAGATACCAATGACGTATTTCACAGAAATAGAACAGACATTTCAAAAATTTATATGGAACCATAAACGACCTCGAATAGCCGCAGCAATTTTGAGAAAGAAACACAAAGTAGGAGGGATCACAATACCGGACATCAAACTCTACTACAAAGCCACCATACTGAAAACAATCTGGTACTGGCACAACAACAGACCCATAGACCAGTGGAACAGAATAGAAAGCCCAGAAATAAGCCCAGGTCTCTATGGACATCTAATATTCGACAAAGGGGGCAGAAGCATAAAATGGGGCAATAACAGCCTCTTCAACAAATGGTGTTGGGAGAGCTGGACGGCTACATGCAAAAAATTGAAATTGGATCACCAGCTGACACCATACACAAAAATAAACTCAAGATGGATAAAAGACTTAAATATAAGTCGCAACACCATCAAAGTCCTAGAGGAGAACATTGGCAGGAAACTCTCAGATATCCCACGCAGCAATTTTTTCACTGATATGTCTCCTGAAGCAAGGGACATAAAGGAAAGAATAAACAAGTGGGACCTCATCAAAATAAGAAGCTTCTGCACGGCGAAAGAAAACATCAGCAAAATGAAAAGGGAGCCAACCATTTGGGAAAATATATTTGCTAATGATAAATCAGATAGAGGTTTGATCTCCAAGATATACAAAGAACTCACTCGACTCCACTCCAAGAAGACAAACGATCCAATCAAAAATTGGGCAAAGGACCTGGGCAGACGCTTGTCTAAGGAGGAGATACAGAGGGCCCAGAGGCCTTTGAAAGGATGCTCTGCATCACTAGCCATCAGAGAAATGCAGATCAAAACCACCATGAGGTACCACCTCACACCGGTCAGAATGGCCATCATAAACAGATCCACAAACAACAGGTGCTGGCGAGGCTGTGGAGAAAAGGGAACCCTAGTCCACTGTTGTAGACTGGTGCAGCCACTATGGAAAGCAGTGTGGAATTTCCTCAAAAAGCTGAAAATGGAACTGCCTTTTGATCCAGCAATTCCCTTGCTGGGACTATACCCTAAGAACACCAAAACGCCAATACAAAAGAACCTATGCACCCCAATGTTCATAGCAGCACAATTTACAATAGCCTAGTCTTGGAAGCAACCTAAATGCCCATCAGTAGATGACTGGATCAAAAAATTGTGATACATATACACAATGGAATACTACGCAGCAGAAAGAAAAAAGAAGTACTAAACTTCGCGACAGCATGTATGGAACTGGAGAGCATCATGCTAAGCGAAATAAGCCAGGGGGCGAAAGACAAATACCTTATGATCTCACCTATAAGCGGAACCTAACCAACAATGCAAAGATGCAAGGAAAATATGACCAGCAACACTGAAAGGAAAAGAAATCAACAGAGACAAGAGGGAAGGGGGGGGGCAGGGAAAGGGAAGGGAAGGGGAAAGTCAAGGAACATATAGCAAGGACTCATGGACAAAACCAAAGGGGAAGAGCTGAGGGAGGGAAGGTGGGAGGGGGCAAGGGAAAGAGGTGGGCGGAAGGCAGAGACAAATGTATTTAAAAAGTAAATAAATTAATTAAAAAAAAAAGAATTGTTATCAAATCGTAAACATATTTGTATTTTTATCTAGAATAAAAATTTGTAATTTTATCTAGAAAAAAAAAATAAAACAGAGAAGCTATAGTGGAAGACTTGGTTTGATGTCTAATGACTCTCCCTTTTCTGAAAAAAAGTATCATTACAGTGGAAACTTAACTTACTGATAGGATCTTCGTGAAAGGATTTCTCTACATTTATGAGAATCAATTACACCTTCTGATTCTGCAGACTCATCTGTCTCTGCAATTGTTGCTACCTATAATACAAGAGTTTCTGAAATGCATCATAAAAAATATGATTTCTTTCAAAAAAGTGTGACTAAGGGTCTCCATGTGCAGTAGTAGTAAGCCAGGTGCTGGGAAGCACCCAGCAACAGAACACACTGCGCCCGCACTAATGGAGCTCACACTTGGCTTAGGAAAGGAAGCACGGACACAGGCATTTCAGTTATAGGACAAGCGTGTATGAAAGGAACAGTGCAGATAATAAATGCTAGAGAAATGTGAGTAAAATAACGGCTGGAATGTCAAGTGGGGCTTCACAGGAAAGGTCTAAATATATGATATATAAGACCTCAGGTCCCAACCCTGAAAATACTCTCACAAATCCAGCAGGGAATGAATGAGTGACAGAGGCAGGAAAAAAGTCTCAATTTCATTGCCCTTTTCGCAATACCACAGCTGACTTGAGCTGGGTCTTCAAATTAGACATTAGATAGGTCCCAAGAAGAAAGAATATTTACGCAGATACACAAGCCTGGTTGAAGTTAGGATTTATAACAAGCCATTGAGGTTTGATAACATAAGTCTTGAAGGTCAAAATAAGGAATTTCTCCTTAAAAGATCAGAGTTTTAAGCATGATTTCACGTGTTTTCAAGTTAAGTAATAATAACATGATTATTAAACAAATTCAGAGAACTAAAATAAAAAATCTCTCTACAATAGGACCGCTCTCATTATATACAGACATTTACCATTCAAGGCCTAGGATGGTTAGGAGTTTCCAAAGCTCACTTTACTTAATATTATGATTTCATGGGAATTTGATTGGGGGCAAAATCAAAAGAGCTTATTAAACTATGAAAAATTCACCCTGGCCAGTGTGGCTCAGTTGTTTGGAGCATTGTCCCATAACCGAAAGGATGTAGGGTTCAATTTCCAGTCAGGACACATAACCTAGAGCTCTGCAGGTTCTATCCCCAGTGCAGGCGCATACGATACCCAGTCAAGGAGGCAACCAGTCAACACTTCGCTCTAGCATCGATGTTTCTCTCTTCCCCTTCCTCTCTAAAAGCAATGAAAAAAATGTCCTCTCGGGTAAGGAAAAAAAATGTCAACCATGCAAGAAGGAATATATACTTCCCAAGCACATGGATGAGCATACATGTTCACCTACACATATGATCATGCATCTCTGTTCACAGACACTCAACAAATAAGCATACTAACCAATGAATGAAATTTATTAGAAAAAATGCTGTTGCAATATTGCCACCAAACATTTATCACTTTACACATGTCTCTCATATCATCCTAACAACATCCTTGTGTGACACAGGCTGTTTATTTACCCATTTCAGAAAGGCAAAAACTGGAGTTCCCACAGAGAAATTAAGGGACTTGTCCATCCTTCAACAGGTAGGACTTTTAAGACAAGATCCACCACCACCTATCTGTATAAAGATAGTTAAATCACAATTTTAGTTCACAAAATCCAAGAAAAACCCTTCTGAATATAAGACAAAACTTTCTTCTAGAACCATCTAGGTTTAAACTAAGAAATACCTGCACCCTAATACAAGTCATAATACAAAAAGAAGAGTGGAATGACTTTCTTGTTTTATAATTAGAGTTAGAAACTCTTGGAACCAAGGGTCATCAATGTGGGGGGAGGGAGACAATACTGAGAATTATTAAGACATGTGGTGCTGCAAAGGCAACCAAGTTTTTACTGCTCGTGATTTTATTACTTCAAATATCATGTTGCTATCCTCATTCAGGTTTTGTGATAAACTGTATGCAAATATTCAGGAGAAGAACAAGACTAAATTAGTACATCTACTTTTTCCTCAAAGGTCTTTTTGTCATCAATTAGGTTCCAATAATTCTAACATTTAAAGGACAATAACAAACTGACCTAAAAAAAAAAGAGAAATAAATCCAGTAAATGAGAAAAGTACGCTTCAAGAAATGCTAAGGATTTGAAACCAAACTTGAATGATGATAATAATAAAACACATCGCTGGATCACAACCATAATACTAATCATATCTATAAAACCAAGGTTAAGTCTGAGAGGGGTACATAATATATAAACATAAGACCGAGAGACAATGACATCATTATTTTCTATGGGTTGCACATATTGAATTAAACATACACTTAAATTTCTACCCACCTAATAATGTGGGTATTCATGAAAATAGCATCAGTACTATAATCTTTATATTACTGTATTTATCAGGCATTTTATCCAAAGAATCCTCAAAATATTTTTAAGCACCACTGGAGAGCTCTGCTAAGTAAATCCCAGTTTGAGCAGAGAACCATTTGAAGAATTATTCATCTGGCAATTACTCATCCTGCAAATTAAAAGCTGACAACAAAATGGCAACTCTTAAGTCAGATCTATGTATCTAGCAGAGTACAATGTGTTTCACGTGCAAAAGGAAATTCCTCCAAATTTCTAATAAAACAATTTGAGCATAAAAGCAACACAAGGAAAAAAATGATATATTAGAAAAGGAAAAAAAAAGAAGCTCAAACTCGAGAAAGTCAAAGACAAACCACGCAGGAAGGAAGCTAACCTGAGCAGTTTGTATGTGTGGTGACTGGATAACGGATGACTGTGGTGTCTGAATTACTCCCTGGACGTGGACAGTCTGGCCCGAAGGTAACTGCACTAGAGTCAGAGCGGGGGAGCCTCTTCCGGTGCCTGATCCAGCTACAGAAACCTGCAAAAACAATCATCATAGAGGATTAAGACTAGACATTTTTATTGCTCTTTCTGCCTTTTTTTTTTTTAATATACCATCACTACGATAAATGGACTATTCTTTCTGCTTCCAAGGAATAACAAGCAAGTTGGGGTCCTTACCATGCAGAGGTGGTCACTGTCCTGGAATAGTCATTTTCTGATGTGATAGATAGTAAAGAACCCACGATACTCGCCTTCAGTTCCCATGCTTCAGTGACTAAGAATGTTCCAAGCAAAACTACTAACAGTGAAACCTTATTTAGGCCAGAGTATAAACTACCCTCTCAAACTTCTTAAGAGAAATTGGAGACAGAACTTCAAAATGGTGAATTACTTTTCAATAAATGAAATGTTCGACATGATATTCTAGAATTACTCCAGATGCAAACTAATGCCTTATGTCTACACTGATAAAAATTGCAGGGGTAGGAAAGATGGAGGAGGAGTGAATGGGAGTCACGTGGACCTCCTCCCAAAAGGAAACTGGAATTGCAACTAAGTAGTGGAGAAATCACCTGGAAAACAATGTAAGGATAGAGGGAGAGGAGCCCTGGAGCTGCGGACAGACAGTGGAATCAACTTTACACATCCAAACGGGTGAGAAGTGCGGTGGAGGCTCCAGAGGGTGGGCTGGGCGCCCATGGGCACCCAGCACTAGAAGGACATTGAAATGGCCAGTTGGATCCTCTGAGAATAACAGGATCTGAACCATAAACAGGAACCCCTAGACTACAGCAGCTGAAACCAGGAAAATGCACAGACAAAATGCAACCCTGAAAAGCTTAGGGGCGCTCTCTGTCAGAGATAGGTGGCTGGAGATGCAAAGAGACATTTAAAGGGCCAATGCAAAAATTTGCAGTGGCAGCCGCCTTCCTTGATCTCTGGGTAGAGGTGGCAGGAGAGTGGGCTGGTGCCTGAGGAAAGATCAGAGAGGAAAATTTTGTGAAGAGAACAGAGACAATGGCCAGCAGAGCCCCCAGTCATAACTCACCTCCCACTCTGCAGCTACCACCTCACCCAAGCATAAGAGAATCAATTAACCTGCCTTTTGCGCGCTCTGCACACAGCTTGTGCGCGTGTGGGCTAGGGGCTGAGTGCATACTGGCTGGAAGAAATAGTGGATCCCTAGCCAAAAGGGTCACAGAGCTGCCCAAAGACCCTCAAGGAGAGACTGGAGACAGAGGCATCGGGGAGTCCTGGTGCTGACTCTTCCCCAGTCCACGATCTCCATCTGGCTCAGGCAGAGTACTCCCCTGAGTGACACAGGCCTATAAGCACGACAGTCCCAAGATCAGGAGGAATGCTCCGCCCTGTGGTGCCTAAGTCTGACAGATGAGAACAGAGTGACCACATTGACAATTACAGGAGACAGACACAGGCAGTAGCTTCCTGGAAGGCTCGAACAAACGACCCAAGGACAGACAGGGTCAACAACTGATATCATCAGAGGCAGGCCCAGAAAGAAAAGCAAAGAAAAAATAAATAAATAAATAAAAGACCTATCTACTACCATAGAAGTTTAATCCACAAATTCAGGAAATCTAGATGGATCAATTAAGGCAGAAGCAAAAATAAATAAATAAATAAATAAATAATAGACTCTCACAAAAATGGGAAGAAAAAGAAGTTCCCCCCAAATGAGGGGACAGGAGGACTCCCCACAGAAGAGCTAAATGAAATAGAGGCAAGGGAACTATCCGATATTGAATTCAAAACAATGGCTCTAAAGGAAGCTCAATGAGCTCAATCAGCCCAAAGATAAATATGAGAAACTGCAGAGAAACTATCAGGATCTTACAGCAAACTATATCAGCCTGGAAAAGGACATAGAAAATATCAAGAAGACACAAGAGAATATAAAGAATATCATTTCTGAATTGAAGAACACAGTAGAAGGAATCCAAAGCAGGCTGGATGAAGCCGAGGATCGAATCAGTGAGATGGAGGACAAGGTAGAAAGAAGCTCCCAGAAAGAACAAGAAATGGAAAAATGGCTCAAAAAGAATGAAGAGGCATTTAGGGAAATGCAGGACAACCTGAAACGCAATAATATCCGTATAATAGGGATACCAGAAGGAGAAGAAGAGGAGCAAGGGATAGAGAACCTCCTCGAAAAAGTAATGATGGAACATTTCCCTAATTTGAGGAGAGAAAGGCTCTCATGGATCCAGGAGGCACAGAGGACCCCACTCAAGAGGGACCCAAGGAGGTCCACTCCAAGACACATCATCATTAAAATGGCAAATGTCAAAGACAAAGAGAGAATCCTCAAGGCAGCAAGGGAGAAGGAGAAAGTAACATACAAGGGGGCGCCGCCTAGGAGCTGACTTCTCAACAGAAACACTACAAGCCCGAAGGGAATGGCAACTAATATTCCAAGCCATGAAAAGCAAGGGCCTACAGCCAAGGCTGCTCTACCCAGCTAGGCTCTCCATTATAATACAAGAGGAAATACGGAGTTTCCCAGACAAGACAAGACTAAAAGAATACATCTCTACCAAACCAGCACTCCAAGATATGGTAAGGGGACTGGTTTAAGCAGATGAAGGAAAAAAATGAGAGAGAGAGGAACACAGGTACAAAGAGAACAGATGAGTAAGTTTCTATCAGTAATATCTCTCATTGTGAATGGACTAAATGCCCCAATCAAAAGACACAGGGTAGCTGAATGGATAAGAAAACATGACCCACACATATGCTGCCTAGAAGAGACCCACCTCAGAGCAAGAGACCTACACAGATTGAAAGTAAAAGGATGGAAAAAAATATTCCAAGCAAATGGGCAAGAGAAAAAGGCCAGGGTTGTAATACTTGTATCAGACAAAGTAGATTTCAAAACAAAGGCCATAAAAAGAGACCCAGAGTAGCACTTTATAATACTTAAAGGAAGAATCTATCAAGAAGACATCAACATTGTAAACTTATATGCTCCCAATATAGGAGCCCCCAAGTTTATAAGGAAATCGTTGGAAGACTTCAAAAAAGATATAGACAGCAACACACTGATAGTGGGGGATTTCAACACCCCACTGTCAAAAATGGACAGATCTTCCAAACAAGACATTAATAAACATATTGTGGCGCTGAATTACACACTGAATCAAAGACTTAACTGACATATATAGAACCTTACATCCTAAAGAAGAAAAATACACATTCTTTTCAAATGCTCATGGCAGTTTTTCAAAGATAGACCACATGATAGGACACAAAGCAAGCCTCAGCAAATTCAGGAAAACTGAAATAATACCAAACTTTTTCTCGGACCACAAGGCCTTGAAACTCGAAATCAACCTCAAAGAGAACTTCAAAAACGTTCAAACTCATGGAGACTGAACAGTATGCTATTACACAATGAATGGGTCAATAATGAGATAAGAGAAGAAATCAAAAAATTTCTGGAAACAAATGAAAATGAACCGACAACAGTCCAAAACCTATGGGACACAGCAAAGGCGGTCCTGAGAGGGAAGTTCATAGCAATACAGGCTTACCTAAAAAAGATAGAAACATTTCAAATACAAGACCTAACACTACAACTTCAAGAACTGGAGAAACAACGACAAGTAAATCCCTGAGCAAGTAGAAGGAAGGAAATAGTCAAGATTAGAGCAGAACTGAATGACATAGAGACAAAAAGAACAATTCAGAGGATCAACCAATCCAGAAGCTGGTTCTCTGAAAAGATAAATAAAATTGACAAACCTGTAAGCAGAATCATCAAGAAAATAAGGGAGAGGACCCAAATGAATAATATCAGAAATGAAAGAGGACAAATAACAACTGATACCACAGAAATACAAATGATCATCAGAAACTATTATGAACAATTATATGCCAAGAAATTTGAAAATCTTGATGAAATGGACAAATTTTTAGAAAAGTATAATCTTCCAACACTGAAGGAGGAAGAAACAGAAAGCTTGAACAGACCGATAACAGCTGGGGAAATTAAAGCAGTAATTAAGAAACTCCCAGCACACAAAAGCCCTGGGCCAGATGGTTTCCCAGGAGAATTTTACAAATCATTTAAGGAAGAGCTAACCCCTGTCCTTCTCAGACTATTCCAAAAAATCCAAGAGGAGGGAAGACTCCCAGACTCTTTCTATGAGGCCAGCATCACACTGATCCCAAAACCAGATAAAGACCCTACAAAGAAAGAAACCTACAGGCCAATTTCGCTGAGGAACATAGATTATAAAATCCTCCACAAAATATTGGCAAACTGAATCCAGCAATACATTAAAAAGATTATCCACCATGATCAGGTGGGATTCATCCCAGGGATGCAGGGATGGTTCAATATACGCAAATCAGTAAACGTGATATATCACATAAATAAAAGACAAAAACCACATGATCATCTCGATATATGTAGAAAAAGCATTCGATAAGGTACAGCACCCATTTATGATCAAAACACTCAGCAAAATGGGAATAAATGGGGCATTCCTCAACATAATAAAGGACATATATGAAAAACCTACAGCCAATATCATACTAAACGGGCAAAAACTGAAAGCTTTCCCACTAAGATCGGGAACACAACAAGGATGTCCGCTCTCACTGCTTCTTTTCAACATCATATTGGAAGTCCTAGCCACAGCGGTCAGACAAGAGAAGGAGATAAAAGGCATCCAAATAGGAAAGGAGGAAGTAAAGCTATCATTGTTTGCAGATGACATGATAGTGTACATAGAGAACCCTGTAGACTCTACCAAAAAACTCCTCAACCTAATAAGTGAATTTGGCAAAACAGCAGGATACAAAGTCAACATTCAGAAATCAAAGGCGTTTTTGTACACCAGCAATGCAATAGAAGAAGAAGAAATCAGGAAAAATATACCATTCAATATAGCACGAAAAAAGATAAAGTACTTAGGGATAAATTTAACCAAAGACACAAAAGACCTGTATGCAGAAAACTATACAACATTGAAAAAAGAAATTAAGGAAGACACAAATAAATGGAAGCAT